TCACCACTCCCCCTTGACAATCAATGGTGTAACCATCACTGTATCGCCCATTATCAAATCCTGTGGCTTACCATTGATCAAAAACTCAATTAGGCTCGCCACATAAACACAGTGGCTACAAAAGTAGGTCAGAGGCTAGGAATACTGAGGCAAATAACTCACCCCAAAGCCTGTCCACCAACTTCAAGGCACAAGTCAGGAGCGTGTTGGAATATTTCCCCCAAAGCCTGGATGGGTGCAGCTCCAACAACACTTACAAAGCTTGACACCATCCAGGACAAAGGAGCACGCTTAATTAGCACCACATCCACAAGCATCCACTCCCTCCACCACCGACACTCAGTACACTGCTGATACTATTTACAAAACGTACTACAGAAATTCATCTAAGATCCTCCGACAGTACCTTTCAAACTCACGACCACTTCCATCTAGAAGGACAAGGACAGCAGTTACATTGGAATACCACCAACCTCAAGTTCCCTCCAAGCCACTCACCATCCTGACTTGGAAATATATCGCCATTCCTTCACTGTTTTGGCATTAAAATCCTGGAATTCCCTCCATAATGGCATCGTGGGTCAACGCACTGCAGGTGGCTAACAGCTGTTCAAGAAAGCAACTCACTCCCACCTTCAAGGGCAACTAGGGACAGGCAATAAATGCTTGCCAGCCAGCAATGCCCACATTCCACAAAAATTAACTTAAAAAATAAATAAAAGGGGCATGACATGTCCTTGGCAAACAGGATTAAGGAAAATCCCAAGGCATTTTAAAGTGCTTCAAGAGGTTGGTCATGGCTTACATCAATTCCAGCCTCCCAGATTGCCTTGCTCCCTTGCAATTTGCCTACCAGCGCAACATGTCCTCAGCAGATGCCATTTCTCTGGTCCTACACTCATTCCTGGAGCATCTGGACAAGGATAACTACATCAGGCTCCTAGTTATTGACTACAGCTCTGCCTTCAACACCATAATTCCAAACAACCTCAATTCCAAACTCCGGGACCTAACTCTCTGCTCCCTGCTAACTGGATTCTCAACTACCTGACCAACAGACTGCGCTCAGTAAGGATAGCCGACAACACTACCTCCACAATAATCTCAACACCGATGCCCTGCAAGGCTGCGTACTCGGCCCCCTACTACATTGCCTAAGCACATGACTGCATGGCCAAATTCTGCACCGACTCTACTTACACGTTTGCTGACAACACCACCGTCGTAGGTTGGATCTCAAACAATAAGACAGAGTACAAGAAGGAGACAGAGTGCTAACCGAAATGGTGTAAAGACAATGACCTTCCCATCAAAATCAGCAAAACAAAGGAGCTGGTCACTGACTTCAGGAAGTGGAGTGGAGGTCACGCCCATGTCTGCACCAATAGTGCTGAGGTGGAGATGGTCCAAGAGCATCAGGTTTCTGGCAGCAACGATCATCAACAATCTGTCCTGGTCCACTCATGTTGACACACAGTCAAAAAAGCACAACAGGAGGCTAAGCAATGTCCGTAAAGACTCTTACCAATTTTCATTGATGCACCATAGAAAGATCCTATCTGAATGTATCATAATGTGGTGTGGCAACTGCCCTTCCCAAGACTGAAAGAAACTACAGAGTTGTGAACGTAGCCCAGTCCATCACGGAAACCAGCCTCCCATCCATTGACTTCATCTATACTTCCTGCTGTATCATGAAAGCAACCACTATAATCAAACTCCCACCCTGGTTATGCTCTCTTCCACCCTCTTCCGTCAGGTAGAAGATATAAAAGTTTGTATAAACGTATGAACAAATTCAAGAACAGTTGTTCCCCACTGTTATCAGACTTTTGAATAGACCTCTTTAATGTTAACATTGATCTCTCTCTGCACCTTCCCGGCAGTTGTAACGTTGTATCCTGCACTCTTCTGTTACCCTGACGCATTTGTATAGTACAATCTGCCTGTAAAGCACGCAAGACATCAGTTTTCACTGTACCTTGGTACATGTGACAGTAATAAATCAAATCAAAACATAAGGAGCAAGAGGGTAGCTAGGGAAAAAGTAGGACCACTCAAAGACAAAGGAGGAAATTTATGCATGGAACTGGAGAGAGTGAATGAGGTCCTTTGTGAAGAACAAGGAGGACATGGCAGATGGTGGATCTCAGGAGGGGAATGTTGATATTCTATGGCATGTCATTATAAGAAAGGAAGTGGGTGTTTTGAAAAGCATTGAAGTAGACAAGTCCCCAGGACCTGATGGGATCTATACCAGAATGCTGAGGGAGGCAGATGAAGAAATTTTCAGGGCCTTGTACAAAATCTTTGTATCCTCGAGTTCCAGGAGACATTCCAGAGGTCTGAAGAATAGCCAACATTATTCCTTTGTTTAAAAAGAGCAACAAGAATAATCTGGGAAATTACATGTTGGTGAGCCCACATGTTGGTGGTAGGGTAGGAAAATTACTGGAGAAGATTCATTGGGATAGGATTTACAGTAATTTGAAAAATATGGACTTAATAGTGATAGGCAGCATGACTTTGTGCCAGGAAGGTCGAATCTCCCAAACTTGATTGAGTTATTTAAGAAACTGACAAAAATTCTTGATAAGAGCAGGATGGTCGATGTACAGATTTAGCACGGCCTCTGACAAGGACCCTCATGGCAGGTTGATACAAAAGGTGAAGTCACATGGGATCTGTGGTGAGCTGGTAAGATGGATACAGAACTGGCTTAGCCATAGAAGACAGAGAATGGCAGCGGTAGGATGTTTTTCAGTCTGGAGATGTGACCAGTGGCGTTCTATTTAAGAGGCATCTTGACAGATAATAAGAATAGGGAGGGAACAGAGGGAAATGGATTGTGTACAGGCAAAAGGTTTTTTAGTTTCAGAAGTCTTCATACATCGGGGCAGCTGAAGGGCTTGATCCTGAGCTATCCTGTTCTTCATTTTTAGGCTGAAACCAGTATGGAGGGACTATCTTATGAGGAAAGGTTGAATAAAAGTAATGTCACCATAATCTTACTAGAGCATAGGCTGCTGTCTCGTTAGAGAGATATAATGGTTGTTTAACCTGACAGTCACCACACCTCAGAATGAGAGAAATTGAGAAGGAGAATCCTTCACAGTAACCTCAACTGGTGCAGAAAATGAACCCATGCTGCTGGAGTCAATCTGTATCACAAACTAGCCTCAGTACGTTGGGTCCAAACTCACTGGACTTTAGATAATTGAAAGGCAACCCTTTTGAAACAAACACAATGTTTAGGGGACTTGACAGGATAGATGCAGAGAGGTTGACTCCCCCTGTGGGACAGTCTTAGACAAAAGGGCATAATCTCAGAATAAAAGAGGTCACACATTTAAAGAGATGAGGAGGAACTTTTCTCTAGAAGGAAGTGAATCTGTGGAATTCCTTATCGCAGAGGGCTGGGACATTAAGTATATTCAAGGCTGAGACAGATTTTTAATCAATAAGGGAATCTAGGGTTGTGGAGAAAAGACAGGCAAGTGGAGGATTAACAGAGCTGAGGAGGATTAACAGACCAGCCACAATCTCATTGAATTAAGTGCAGACTCAATGGCTGAATGGCCTACTTCTGTTTTTTCCATCTTATAGTCTTATTAAAACTGAGATGAAGAGGCATGTCTTCACTCAGATGGTGGCAACTCCATGGAATTATCTACCCTGGAAGATTGCACAAGGTAAATCATTGGGCATGTTCCAGATAGAAAACAGATTTCTGGAGACTAATGACTTCAAGGGGTATGGAGATAGTGTAGGTAAGTAGCATTGAGGCAGATGATCATCCATGATCCAACTGAATGGTGGAGTAGGCTCGATGGGCTAAATGGTCTATTCCAGTTCTGATAAAATGCATTTATGATGTTTATTATCTCTACTACCGCAGAATATAGCTTAGATTTTTAGTAAGCCAATGAAGCCAGATCTCAGTGGCATTACTGAGTGGGTCGTAGGACACAGGGATGTATCCCCATGTCAGAGGCTAGAAATGATCGGACCGATAATTCAGTCACAGACGCTCCAAAGGAGAACAGTTGGGAGAAACTTTTTCTTGCACAAATGACTGAGACGCTCTTTCAAAGAACTAGCACAGTCACGATGGGCAGAATGGCTTCTTCCTTGTCTGATTCATTGAGGTGGATTGATATGATGTCATTGCCACGCGTGTACCCGAAGCCCCGCCCACTTTGGCGCGCGCGGGGGGCCCGTGCACTCGTTTGATTCAAGCAGGCGGTTCGGCAGTTAATACTCCGCCAAGGAGGCCAGTGCCTTCCCAACAATACTACTCCATCTCTACCTCAAACCCTTCCAAAAACAAACAAACACACACAAACAATATTTGCCCTCCTTTCTGGATTGCTACAGAATACCAAAGTCAGAAAATCACAAGGAAGTGAGTGCGGTAAGTGGTCACGGGAGAGCTTGCCGGTCAGGTTCAGTTCCTCTCACCTTCTTCACGGTCCGTGGGGCTTCCATGACGGTGCCGTCTGCATTGAAGGTATCTCCGTTCTGTGCGGCCTCGGTGGATTTCATCGCCGACTTCGAGTCCTTCGGCGTGGTGTTGCTGAGAGGCGGCAAATGATGCTGTTTGATTTCTTCCGCTGAGCTTGTCGCCGCGGGCTCCCCGTCTTTTGTCTGAACGTTCTTCCTCTCAGCGTTCACCTTATCCAAGGCCACCACTGCTTCCTTCAATTCCACTTCGGCCATCTTTGCTGTAACTACCTGAAGCGACATTTTTTTCGTATTTCGCTTTTGCCGAGCGCGCCTTCTCGTTCTCCCCAACCGCACCCGTTCCTCTCAAACTCCAGCTTTGCTTCTCTCACACACACACACACACACACCGCACTAGCAGTGCTCACGTTGCGCATGCCCCGTGCCGCCACTTTATTACTGCCTTTTCCTCCCTTGCCCCCACCCGTGACAGCACTGTAGTTTCTCTCCACCTCCACTCATGCTAACTCCTCCGATTGTGCAAGCCAGAAGGACTACATTTCCCACAAAGTATTTCACCGGCACCGCGACCAATGCGCAAAGGTTCCTGGGTAGTTCAGCTCTTCTTCATCTGAGCCCGACAAAGACGGGAGTGCCGGAAACTACATATCCCAGAATCTCCTTCGCTGATGTTGGTACGAGTGGTAAGGTCTACAATGTGGTGGAAAGTGCAGTTTTTCCTGTTCTCCCCGAGTATCCAAAATCACTTTCCAGTATGTTGGATTTTATGCTTTGCCATTCGCTTGATGTATTAGAGTTATTCAAGAGGTATTAGCTTAACAGCAGTCTGTATGTACACAATGAGAGGCTGATGGCTGAGCATTCTCCTGTTGCATATACTACAAAATTAGTAAGCAATTGCAATTGTTACATTAAATGTAGTGGGCTCCTGGGAATAAACTTTAAAGAAAAAAAAGAACTGCGGATGCTGTAAATCAGGAACAAAAACAAAGTTGCTGGAAAAGCTCAGTAGGTCTGGCAGCATCTGTGGAGGAGAAAACAGAGTTAACGTTTCGGGTCCGGTGACCCTTCCTCAGTTCTGAAGAAGGATCACCGGACCCGAAACGTTAACTCTGTTTTCTCCTCAATAAATTTAAAGACATTTGACGTTTTTATACAGCAATTTATACAGCCAAAATCAATTTGCTGCCAATTCAGAGCCTTTGAAGCGTGTGCTGTTGTAATGCAGATAGATGTGGAAACTGATTCCTAACCCCAGGACCCCAACCTCCATTTAAGATGGTACTACAAACAACTTGTTTTAATTCTTCCAACGGAAGAGAGCTCTACTGGTAAGGCTAACATTTGTCCATTCTTTGGCACTTGAGAAATTTGTTGTGAGCCTCTTTCTTGAGCTTCTGCAGTGCATGTGGTGTAGGTAGACCCATAGCACTTTTAGGGAGAAATTTCCCAGTTTTTCACCCACTGCTAGTGTAGGAATGTGAGTAGCTCTATATAAAGATTTTTTTTGTGTGGCTTGGATGAGAGATTGTAGATGATTGTTCCTATGCACCTACCGCCCTTGGTTTTCTTAGTAGAAGTTGTAGATTTGGGAAGTGCTATTGTAGTGTGAATAAATTAGTGTTTTTTGATTGGAGTGGATAGCATACTTATCCTATTCTTTATTGAACAGTACTGCTCAAATCTCTATGGTAAGGCTTTAATCTTCAGTCCTCAGAGGTGAGGGCACAATAGACTGAGCTAAGGTTGATGTAGCACAACTTGCCTCATCTAGAAGTTTTAATGGCGGTAAACAAGATTGAGAGAGCAATATATGTGGTTTTTGAACCACCATCTGAAACCTAAAATACCCTTCAAGACACTCCCCTGTGTTTCGGTTTTTCCTTTTCTCTACTCCACAGGTTACAACTATTTCATCAGGTTGGCCTTGGATTCAAATGACATGACAGAGGATCTTCAGACAGTGGGGCAATGTATTGACATTTGTGATAAAGATTCTTTATCAGAACATGGGGCTGATGAGGTCCAATTTCCCTGCCTTTGGCCTATTTATATGAAAAACATGTTATTCTTTAAATCCCTCACTGATTATTCCTCAGATCATCTAACAGGTTTTTGACTTTTTTTTAGTAGTCCCTTTGTACATTGTCTCTCCCCAGTTTCTCCCATTGTTTCTCAACATTATCAAATGCCTGTCTGTGTCATTCTTCAGTTCCGATGAAGCATCACACACAAAATGTCACAATCTGCCCATTCTCCTACTGACTGTCATTCTGTGTACTTTCAACACTTTTGTTTTTCTTGCATAATTGTTGCTTAGTTAAAATGCACATAGCACTATTTTTACTTTCAACCACAGGGGAAAAGAAAACAGGTTAGATAACAGTCTTCACAGTTCAGTTTACAAGAAAGAGAGAACCTACATTTATGTAGTTGTTCACAATCTTGGGACATTCCAAAAAGCTTCAGAGTCCAGCAAGTGCAGCTGCTGTTGTAATCTAGAAAGTCTGGCAGCCACCTCGTTTACAGCTGATACCAGATGCTATTACAGCTGTTATAGAAAACCAACCTTTCTACTGTTCTCCTTTTAAAGTTATTATTTTTCCGGTTGAAGTAGGACAACTAAAATGTCAGTTTATAGAGCAGTAGACAATTGCAATTGTGATATGGCTGTTGAACTATATTGACCTGGTCGATTCCAAATTCAGTTATATTGCAATACTTTTCACAACCAAGACTCAGGAAAAACCTTTCAGACGTACACGAACACAGTGAATATCATGTGGAACATCATGGCTGCAGCACTATATACACACTTTCAATGTGGTGAAATCTAACTGGGCCAGACTGTTCAGCTACAAATTGCTAAATATGCAAATAGGTTTTCAAAGTTACAGCAGCAGACCAGTAATTCCTAGGGGACACTCTCTGACAAATGAAGGAGTGCATGACAGTTAAGGATGGAAACGCAAGCTGGCCTTGCCAGTGATGTCCTCATCCCATTCAAGAATAATTGGAAAAAAGTCAGCAGCTTACTTTGGCCCTGATATTCTACAGTAATGTTAGTGAAACTGTTAGCACTCCACATCACTACTCCCTGAAGGTCAAAAATCACACGACACCAGGTTATAGTCCAACAGGTTTATTGTCATATGATTTCTGATCTTGTCCACTCCAGTCCAACGCCTACACCTCCACATACTCCCTGAAGCTGACAGCAATGTTGAGTGTACACGTACGGAATAACACAGAAATCAAGAAGTTGCTCTCATTTAACTTAAGCTCCATCATAAGCTGTAACATGGAGTATTGTAAGAAATGCTCTCACCTGGCACCTGGTTCTGCTAGGAACTGCTTTGGATAGAGATGTTGCCATCACCTCTTTTTGCAATATGGGACTTAATAGTATTCAGCTAATGGGAAACACCCATAGCTTGGACAGTGTTTTTCAATTTTACTGAGATGGAGCACCCTTGTGAAGCCTGTTAAATAGGGTAGCTTTATAAAGCAGTGCTCCTGAGAAGGGATGGATATAGTGAACTAGATTACCTTTGAGTGAAGAGTTATAAAGTCATGCAGCATGGAAACAGACTCTTCAGTCCAATTAGTTCACGCTGACCATGTTTCCAAACTAAGCTAGTCCTACTTGCCTGCATTTGGCCCATATCCCTTCAAACCTTCCCTATTCATGTACTTATCCAAATGTTGTAACTGTACCAGCATCCACCACTTCCTCTGGCAGTTCTTTCCACACACGAACCACTCTCTGTGTTCAAACAAAAAAGAAAGTTGCTCTTCATGACCTTTTTAAAACTTTCTCCTTAAAAATATGCCCCCTGGTTTGAACTCCCTCACCCTGGAGTAAAGACCCTTGCTATTCACTTTTTATCTGTGTCACTCCTGATTTTATAAACCTCTGTGATGTCACCCCTCAACCTCCTACATTCCAGTGAATGAAATCCCAGCCTATTTTTATAACTTAGAACTTCTTTAACCTCCATTTCCTAGCAATATCCTGGTAAATCTTTTCTGAACCTCTCCAATTTAATTATATCCTTCCTATCGCAGGACAACTAGAACTGCAAATAGTACTCCAGAAGAGGCCCCACCAATGTCCTGTGCAACCTCCTATACTCAAAGGTCTGTGTAATGAAGGCAAGCGTGCTAAACATCATCTTAACCACCCTGTCTACTTGTAATGCAAATTTCAAAGAATTATGTACCTGAACACCTAGGTCTCTGATGTGCACTATCAAGGGGCCTACAGTTGTATAAGTCCTACCCTTGTTTGTTTTACCAAACTGTGAGTCCAAGGCAAGAAGTACTAGGATAAAACCGTAAAGAGATTGCTTTAAGCTGACTACACTTAAGCAGGTGTATAATAGCTCCTGGAAGAAGCTATCTGCAGTTCCAGTATAAAAGTTGAAGTCCCAAGTGATTTAAACCTACCAAGACATTAGATACAGGCACTCTAGTGCGAATATTATACAAGTGGTCTTTTTCGGTACTGTGACGGGTATGTTTTGTATGTTTTCAATTCATAACAATGTTTTGGAATTAGTTGGATTCTATTTTTATTGTGTTTAAAATTTTCATATTTGTATTACAAGTAGGTGATTTGGTTTCTTCTATTTTATCTTCATTTCTTTTGTTAATAAACTTATTTTATCTTGGTAAAGCAAAATCTGCAACTTGTGTTTCTTTCAGTAAGACACAATTCTGTTGAAACCAAAACAAATCAAAATATGATTCCTTTCTGGGATCTGATTTGTCTGCTAATAACATCAGCTGGGATCATAACACTCCCTAAAGAGGCTGTACTGTATCTCTGGTTGGAGCTGTACAAAAACTTCAGCTTTAACCCTTTGAGACTATTTAAGGTTCTTTGTAATCTCTTTGCAATCATGACTTGACAAAATCTTCCACTTCCACGTTCAGTCCTGCCAGAACATAAATATTGAAAAATCTTGTTTAAGTATTTGTATTTTTAATAGTGCTGTAAGTTTATAGTTACTGCTTAACTTGCTGCTCTGAAAAATTGATTTTATACTTGAGATGTTAATTGTCTGTATTATAAAGTGTTCCTCATTTTTGTAAATTTTCTAAACTTTTTTTTTTAAATTTTAGTCTCCATTGTAGTCCAATCATAGTTTGACATTTTCATCAGCAAAATAAAATCAGTTGTGAAAGGAATCATGATTTTAATTCTCTACTTTATTTGTGAAGTTTTCATTATGATTGGTTCTTTATGTGCTTACTGACAGAAAAGGCAGCGGCCTTGTGGTAATGTCATCTGGCTGATAATCCAGAGGCCTGGTCTAATGTTCTGGTGACATGGGTTCAAACATGAAGTTGACAGTAGCCACTGTCATCTGGTTTGTTTTAGTTTAATTCACTTATGGGATGTAGGCATTGCTGGCTGGGCCAGGATTTATTGCCTGCTCCTTAGGAAGATGGTGGTGAGCTGCCACCTTAAACTGCTGCAGTCCGTGTAGCCTCTAGGGAAGGAATTCCAGATTTTGACCCAAAGAATTAAAGAATCCCGACAGTGCGGAAAATTTCCCCATCAGGTCTGCACCAATGCTCCAAAAACCATCCTATCTAGATCCAGCCTCCCACCTTATCCATGTAACCCTGCATTTACCGTGGCTAATCTACCTAGCCTGCTCATTCCTGGACACTACAGAGTAATTTAGTATGGCCAATTCACTTAACCTGCATATCTTTGAACTCTAGGAGGAAATTGGAGTAC